GGGGGTGGGGGGGAGGTGGGGGTGGGGGACACCTCTGTGCTTTCTGTGAGTATCTGTGTTGAAGGTGTCTCCCTGGAAGGACAGTGCCTCTGGGCTCCCACCCGAGGGCCCTGTCCAGCTCTGGACCTGGTGGGCTGCCCACCCCTAGTTCTGGGCCCCATGGCTCGTGCTGGCAGCAGGGCTGTCTGGTCCTGTTTCTGGGGGCTGGAGCAGCCTAGGCTGGTGAGAGCCAGCATGGGCTGTGTGGCAGCATGCAGAGGGGTTATGGGGCTTGCTGGGGAGGAAGGCTGTCTGGGGGCTGAGCCTCCAGGCTAGACGTGGCCTTGCCCACTGCCCTGTATGGGCTGCTTGCCCATGGGCTGTTTCTTTTCCCATAGTCCTGGTGCAGAGTCCCCACTGGACAGATGGGTTCCTGAAGCTCAGAGCGGCCAGCCAGTCGCCCCGAGAGCCAGGGCGGGTCCACACATGGGTGCCCACTCTGGTGCCCGGCACCCCATGCGGCAGCCCAGAGCCAGCCCAGGCTGATGCTCAGGGGGCCCTGCGGTGCCTGACTGGACGGGGTTGGGACGGCCGCCTGTGAACAGGACCCCACGCAGACCAAAGCAGGGGTGCTCTGCTCAGAGGCCCACAGAGTCCCACAGGCACCAACGGGGCACGCAGCCTGACTGAAAACTCCCAGTGCCCGGGCAACGAGCTCGCTTCCTCGGCCTATGGACGTCACTGAGGAGTGTAGGCCCTGAGATCCCACCGCTAGTGTGTGCAGGGTAGGACAGGTGGGCGTAGCGCAGGCCCAGAACTTGGAGAAAGGCGTGCAGGGCAGGACAGGTGGGCGTAGCGCAGGCCCAGAACTTGGAGAAAGGCCTTGATCTAGGCACAGCCCCTCCCTCCCCCCCCGCCCCCCGCCACCGGCCATTTAGGCCCTAGAAAACAATTGTGTGCAATTTGTGGCCAGGGAAGGGGGCTGGCATCAGTGGGCCCAAGATGGCCCCTGGGAGGCTGGACATCTGCCCTTTGCTGACCTTCTGAGTACTGAGCCGTGCAGCAGCGGGACCAGAGGGGCCAGGAGGTGCTGGTGCTCCCCTTGCTGCTCTCAGCCTTGGACCACAGACAGCCACGCTTGACGCTGATGTCCTCCCTGTTCCAGGGCCTCCAGCAGGCCCCCAGGGCTCCAGCAGCGATCAAGGCTTATGGAGGGGCCTTGGTGGGACACAGACCGCTGGCAGGGGCCAGCGTGGGCCCCCCCCCACTCGGCTGGCCCCGGGCAGCGGCAGTGCTGACGGAGGGGGCATGCATGAGTGGATGGCTGGTAGCAAGACCTGCGGCCGGCTGGGGGCGGTTTCCCCGGGGCCTGGCGAGTGGGTGACCCCTGGCTGCTCGGTGTGGTGCTGCCCACCTGTCTGGCAGAGCTTCCTGTGCCCTCTCCGGGCGCCCACGGGGAGAGATATAAAGTCCAGGGGCCCGAGCCAACGTGCGTGCGTAGCCTCGCTCTGGGTGCCAGTCCCAGGGGTCCGGCGCCGGGCACATGGGGGTGAAGGCGCTCCTGGCCCTGCTGGGGCTGTGTGCGGGGCCGGCGGCTCTGACGCAAGGTGCTGCGCCACAGGACTTCGACTTCACCAAGGTAGCCATGGCGGGGCACTGTCAGGGGCCAGGCTCTGCTCACGGCCAGCCTGGGGAGGGGTCCAGGACTCCGCGCTATGGATGCCCTGCGCCTCCCCTGGAATTTGCCAGACCTCTGAACCCCCTGGAGGGAGGAGCATGGCGTGGCCCCCTCGGGTCCCTGATTCTGGGTGCTGGTAAACCTGGGTGCCTCCCTTCTCCCCCCCACCCTGTCTCCTAGTTTTCAGGCCTCTGGTACGAGGTTGCCTTTGCCTCTAAGGAGGGGGAGCTGGGCCCCCCTCACAAGCTGGAGAAGATGGGGGGTGTGCTGATAAAGGTGGAGGAGAATCGCATCTCCCTGAGCACCACCTACTTCAGGTGAGCAGGGGCCTGGGGTGGGGGCGGCTCTGCCCTCAGGGCCTGACCTCCCCCGCGGACCCCCGCAGTCACCTGGGGCTCAGCTGGGCCAGCCACCAGGCTTCCCTGCTCTGAGACCATGAGAGGTGACAGTCCCTGACTTCATGATGTCAAGGACGGAGGAGAAATCCGGCCAGGCCAGCCCGGGACGCGCGGGCACACCAGGTGCCAGTGGCCGGTGGATACCCAGGCCTGCCCGTGTGTGAGACCACCCTCGGGAGAATGTGTGTGTCCCTGTGTCCACCTCAGGGAGAACGTTGGCCAGTCCTGTGTGTGTCCATCCTGGAGGAGGGCTCAGGCCTGTGTGAGGAGAGGCCGGTGGAGTGGGCACGCTTCCGCTCGCTGCTCTGTGGGCAGTCTCCGTCCTACCTGGGGTGTTGGGTTGGGGCGCATGTGCACTAGTTTCTGGGGCCCTGAGCTCAGCGGACACTAGCACCCCTGCTCCTGGCTGCGCTCTGGACTCCCGGCCTGTCCATTAACTTGTCCGGTGTGGAACATGGGGCCTGGTAGGGGATGGCAGCATTTGGTGGTGCCTCACATTCTTCCCTCCTGCCTCCCTTCCTGCCTCCCTCCCTCCTTGCATCCCTGCCTCCCTTCCTCCCTCCCTCACTTCCTTCCTGCCTGCCTCCCTCCCTCCCTCCCTGCTTGCCTCCCTCTTTTTCTCAGGGTCTGACTCTGTAGCTCATACTTCACTATGTAGACCACACTGGCCCCAAACTTGTTATGTAGGCCATGCTGCCCTCAAACTTACAATCCTCTTGCCTCAGCCTCCCAGTGCTGGGATTGTGGGTGTGGCTACCACTCCTGGCCTGCCTTCTTGTCTCCCCAGCGAGGAGGGTTGTGTGCTGGAGCAGGTCGGGGCCTTCCCGGGAAATGCTCCAGGGAAGTTCAAAGTCATCAGAAAATCTGGTAAGGGGGTGGAGCGGTGAGCTGTCCCTTTGTTCCCTGGCCAGAGGCAGGAACTATGCCTTCCTGTGAGGACTCATTTCAGGGGTCTCTTCCTGGCCTCTCCACCACCTGGTAAGACACCAGGAGCCTGGCTGGGCATCCCCGTACACGTTCCACGGCCTCTAAGGTTTTCTTTGCCGGGGTCATTGACCTTTTCCCTGAAGCCTTAGAAAGGGTGTGATTCAGTACCCTTTTGTCCCAGTCAGTAGTGTTCCTGGTCTCCCCTTCAGACAGACAGTCCCTCAGACAGTCCTCCAGTCCCTCAGACAGTCCCTCAGACAGTCCCTCAGTCCCTCAGACCGTCCCTCAGACAGTCCCTCAGATAGTCCTCCAGTCCCTCAGACCGTCCCTCAGACCGTCCCTCAGACAGTCCCTCAGACCGTCCCTCAGACCGTCCCTCAGACCGTCCCTCAGACAGTCCCTCAGATAGTCCCTCAGACAGTCCCTCAGACCGTCCCTCAGTCCCTCAGACAGTCCCTCAGAGAGTCCCTCAGTCCCTCAGACAGTCCCTCAGACCGTTCCTCAGACCGTCCCTCAGACAGTCCCTCAGACAGTCCCTCAGTCCGTCCCTCAGACCGTCCCTCAGTCCCTCAGACAGCTCTAGGTCTCTCCTCCCATTGGAGGGTGCCCGAGTGCTGGGGGGGGGCACCTGTTCTGGAGCTGGTCCCTCACTTGGTAGAAGATGTTCAGTGTCTGGCTGTCTCATCTCCCAGGAGACAAAGAGATTGAGATCTTGGACACAAACTACAACTCCTACGCCATCATGAACATCTCTCTCCACGTAGCCGGGGCGGTGCGGACGATGATGAAGCTTTACAGTAAGGCTAGGCTGGAGTCATGGGGGGTGCCACCCCCTTGGTTCCGAATTCCAGCAGCCTGTGAGGACTCCCAGTGCCGAGGGGGACGGGCGGGAGCCCGGGACAGAGCCACCAGCCGCCCAGTTGCCCAGCCCGGCCGTCCCTGCCCACAGGCCGGACTCCCGCTCACAACAAGGACTCGCTGAGCAAGTTCCACGAAGTGGCCCAGGAGCGCGGGTTCACAGGCTCAGACATACACCTGTTCGAGCAGGACTGTGAGTAAGCTCCACTGGGTCACAGCACCCCCCCATCAGGTCCCCCAGGGATGGCAGAGCCCTGGCCCACCGGGCCCCACCCCCATGCCAGCACTTTGCTTTGTCCACAGTGACCTGTCTGTCTGTACTGCAGAAGGTAAGTGCCCTGCCCCTCCCTCCCTGCACTGCCCTGCGGGGGGGGGCTCCCCAGCGAGGGGGGTCTGTGCTTCTCAGCCTGTGCTGCTGCCCCAGCCCTGGCGGGACCCCAGGGCCCGGTGTCCTGGCCGGGAGGGAGGGCTGCACAGGACCCCAGCAGCGCTGAGCACGGCTCCGGGGACGTCTGCACAGAACTCAACGCCATGGGACCCCAGGCGGCCACGGGGCTCTGGAGGGGGATGTGGGGAGGGGAGGACAGCCTGGTGCTCACTGGTGAGTCCAGGGGCTGTGTGTGACTGCGGGCCAGCTCTGTCCCTTCAGGTCCTGCCCACCGTGGAGCTAGAGACTGTGGCAGAGAGAGCCACATGCAGGCCTCTGGGGTCCCGAGTGCCCAGCCTGTGCTCCCGGAGCCCGCAGGCCACACAGCGCCTGAGTGCCTCCCTCCACCTGCAGGAGCTGATGTAGAGCACCTCTGGCCCTGGTCTGAGTCTACAGCCTCTGGCCCCGCGCTTCCACACCCTGCCCTGGGCACCACCTGCTCCCATCCGAATAAACCTGCTGTGAATGCTGTCCAGTGAGCGTCTGACCTGAGGGATCAGCGGGGGTGGGGACAGCGGGGTGGGATGAGGGACGCTGGGCTGAGGGGACAGCAGGGAGGGGGACGCTGGGCTGAGGGGACAGCAGGGGTAGGGGAACACTCAGCTGGATTTTCTATGAGTGTTCACTCAGGACAGTGGGCCCTGGACTTCTGCCCCTAGGGTCCCTGCCCAGGCCTGCTTTGGTCAGGCCACCCCAGGCTGTGGGCCGCATGGCCTTACCCCCACCACGGAGCAGTCTCTGTTCTGCTCCAGTAGCCAGAGACAAACCCAGGCAGCCATGAGCAAAGACCCAGTGCAATCTCAGTGCAATCTCTTCATTTGCAATCTCGCAAATGAAGGAGGACCATTCCCTGCTCTTTATTTTTAATTAATTAATTTGCTGGTTTGGGGCCTGAACTCTGGGCCTGGGCGCTGTCCCTCAGCTCTTCAGCTCAAGGCGAGCGTTCTACCACTTGAGCCATAGCGCCACTTCCGACCTTTTCTGCTTATGTGGTGCTGAGGAATCGAACCCAGGGCCTTATGCATGCAAGGCAAGCACTCTACCACTGAACCACCTTCCCAGCCCTTCTTTTTAATGAATTAACTTTATTGTTATTACAGAGGTGATACACAGAGGGGTACGCTTACAGGTGTCAGGCTATGAGTACTTTTCCTTTTATACAGTGTCTTCTGTTCCCTCTCTCTCCCCCAGTCCCTCCCTCCCATCTCCACCTGTTGAGTTGTGTTTTTCACTTTCATCACTGTTCAATCTGCTCCTCTGATGCCGTTGTTCACCCTTTTTCTGGGGTCTTTAATGTTTTTTTGATGACAGTCCTGGAGCTTGAACTTGGGGCCTACACATTGTCCCTAAGCTTTTGTGCTCAAGGCTAGCATGCTACCACTTGAGCCGCAGCTCCACTTCTGGCTTTTTTGGGGGGAAGGTAGTTTATTGGAAATAAGCATCTCACTGATTTCTCTGCCCTGGCTGGCTTCAAACTGTGATCCCAGATCTCAGCCTCCTGAGTAGCTAGGTGACAGGTGTGAGCCACTGGCACCTGGCCATACTGCGCACTTGCATACATGTTTCTGTGGCTCAGAGACCAAATCGCCCCAGCCACTGTTTTGAAGGATGTTCTAGACGTGGGCGTCCCCTGTGCCCTCCCAGCGTGGAGACTCCGTGTCTGGCCTCCTCACCCCACGCCTGGCCTGCTCTGCTGTCTGGTTCCCCTGCTTTCTTTCAGTGTTTGGTGCCAGGGCTGGAGGGCCAGGAAGGCTGCCCTCCCGTGTCTGGTTGGTGCACCTGAAAGGCTCTGCCAGGGCTCAGGCTCGTGTTCTTGGCCAAGTCCTGAACGCCCCATGGGGAGAGTCTTTGAGAGGCTGAGTTCTGGCCACTGAGGGATGCTGTCCCCGGTCTGTGCGGGAAGGCCGGCCTGCGGTGGGACTTCATGTGGGAGCATTGTCTCAGTCTGCCCTGGTTGCTTTGACAAATGCCACCCGCTGGGGTTTAAACAACAGAGATGGTCTGGAGGTTAGATCTGGGCGCCATTGCCCGGTGAGGACCCTGCTCCTGCCTCTGGCCAGCAGACGGCTCTCTGTGTTCTAGGAGGAGAGAACAAGAATGTTCTGTGCAGACTTTCCCGGGGGTCTTGACAGGAACCCAGCTCTATTCTCATCCGAGGACCCCTTTTCCAAACAGTGACACTGAGAGGATTTTAACATGACTTTTGAGAGGAGATTATCCGGTCCAGCAGAAGTATACCATACAGAAGGTGATTGCAGTTGTAACATCCTTTGCAGTAGTTGTTGGATACACAGAAAGCAGACAAATACCGCCATAGTCCCAAAGGGACTGGCTACTAAAATCTAGTTTGGATTGAGAGGAGAAAGATCCTAAAAAAGCGTATAAACATCTCGGAAGAAAGGAAAGAGATGCATACTCTGAGAAGGAAGGACATGGTAGAAATAAAGAATTGACTAAACATGGAGGTAGAATCGAGACATGAGCAGTTGGGGGAAATTCAGCAGGAAGATAGGAACTGTACCACAGCAATGTGGAAATAACAAACCCTAAAAGAACAATAAGCAAAAAATGTTTCCGAAGTGGTGCTGTGGCTCAAGTGGCAGAGCGCTTACCTTGAGCTGAAGAGCTGAGGAACAGTGCCCAGGCCCAGAGTTCAGGCCCCATGACCGACAAAAAAAAAAAAAAGTTTCATGGGTGGACTTAATAACATATTGGGAATGACAAGAGAAAGTATCTGATTCTGAGGCAGTTTTGTATGAGGAGAGGGGGGTGGGTGCCTAACCTCTCATGGTGGGGCTCACAGTGTGTGGGGGCATATCTGACCTCTCCTGGCAGGCAGGGAAAGAGGAAATGATGGAAGGCATCTTTACCTTTCCATCTCTTGAGAAAACATTCTTCAAATATCAGGGCAGGGGCCTGGCGTCGGTGGCTCACACCTGTAATCCTAGCTACTTTGGAGGCTGAGATCTGAGGATTGTGGTTCAAAGCCAGCCTGGGCAGAAAAGTCCGTGAGATTCTTATCTCCAATAAACCACCAGAAAACTGGAAGTGGCGCTGTGGCTCAAGCGGTAGAATGCTCGCCTTGATCTGAAGAGCTGAGGGACAGCGCCCAGGCCCAGAGTTCAAGATCCAAGACTGATCCTCCCCCACCCAAAAAAAAAAATCAGGGCAAACTAAAGGCATTTTAGACCAATGCAGACATTGCAGATAAAATGGAGCACATTTCTTTCTAGCATATTATAGGTACAAGTGGATGCTAGGCTATTATTATTATTATTTTGTCTGTCATGGGGCTTGAACTCTGAGCCTGGGCGCTGCCCTTCAGCTCTTCAGCTCAAGGCTAGACCACTTGAGCCACAGCACCACTTCTGTTTTTTTTTTTTTTTGTCGGTTGTGGGACTTGAACTCTGGGCCTGGGTGCTGTCCCTCAGCTCTTCAGCTCAAGGCTAGCGCTCTACCACTTGAGCTACAGCGCCACTTCCCACTTCTGGTTTTCTGAGTGTGTGGTACTGAGGAATCGAACCCAGGGCTCATGCATGCGAGGCAAGCACTCTACCACTGAGCCAACTTCCCAGCCCAAAATGGAGAAGTTTTATGCCTAGGAAACATAACACGTAATTGTAAGGTCCGACCCTGGATGGCAAGCAGACTCCACCCTCCTCCCAGCAAAGTCTCCACCCAGTACCTGCGTTACCTAGGCAACTGGGACACCTGGAAGAGGTCACATCTGCATCTGCTGAGGTCACATCTGAATTTGATGTGGCCACACCTTTCCCTGCCCATACCCTATATAAGGCCTAGCCCAGGCCCAGACGCTCTCTTCCTCTCTTGCTCTTGCTCTTCTTTTCTGTTCTCTCTCTCTTGCTCTCTCTGTTCTATTCTAGCTCTCTCTCTCTGTTCTTTTCTTGCTCTCTCTCTTTCCCAGCCACGTGGAGTGCCAACCTTGCCTGGTCCCAGCAGGTCTACCCCTTACCTGAATACCACGTGAGTGCTACTGTTCTTACCCCTCTCTCTGCTCTTTTCTGGCTCTTTTCTCTCTCTTTCCTCTCTTCCCAGCTCTCTCTCATTCCCAGGCCTTTCCCAGCCACGTGGAGTGCCAACCTTGCCTGGTCCCAGCAGGTCTACTGAATAAACCTACCCCTTACCTGAATACCACGTGCGTGCTGGTGCAGTTCTTACTCGGTTACCTCTTTTTAAAAACCTAACAGTCACCAGACCCTAGGAGAGGCAGTTCTGGAATTCCAGGCACTGGGGCTGAAGTGGGTCAAGGGTTAAGTTGCAGAACTGAGATGGGGTCTTACTGAAATGGAGTTGCTTAGGTTCCTCATTTCCTCCTTTCTAGAGCATCAGGGGCCAATCATGGTCCCTTAATTGGCACAGTCTTTTATATTTACAGTTTGGTATTGGGATCTCAGAACTAATAGATGGACTGCACTGATCTTTTTCTTTTACAAAGGACGCCAGTCTGTTGAGTATACAAGGTCCGATTGTGAGTAACAAAATTAACAGTACCAAAGTGTCAACGTCTAAGGCATTGGGGTCCCTGGGTAAGGGTCACAAAATCACCAGGACACAGGGGATGCAGCGTGCAAACAGCCATGGCCACTGCATGCTGTGCTTTATTGCTAGTGGGTATTTAAAGACAAGCAAGCATTATCTTTGCCAAGATTTAGTCAGGAGACATTCACACAAAGAATTTTTCTTTCTTTTTTTTTTTATCTGGTTGTGGGGCCTGAACTCTGGGCCTGGGCGCTGTCCCTCAGCTCTTCAGCTCAAGGCTAGCACTCTACCACTTGAGCCATAGTGCCCACACTTCTGGCTTTTTTCTTTTTGCTTATGTGGTGCTGAGGAATCGAACCCAGGGCCTCAGGCATGCAAGGCAAGCGCTCTACCACTGAGCCACTTTCCTAGCCCCTCATACAAAGAATTTCAACAGATACATTTTTACTTAACCTATGAGACAATGTCTTGGTATATTATTATCTAAACTGTTTTAGAGCAAGCTCAAACCACTTCTCCAATCTCAGGAAAATGCTTACCAGCTGTTCATCTATGTTTAAGGAAGCAGAAGAGCTACTTCCTCAGTTCCCAGGAGTCTGTGACATGTGTTTTGAGATAGGGAGAGAGAGCATTTTCCCTCTCTAGCCTGGCATGCCAAGAGCTTTCCACATACACAAACACAGTCCTCAGATAATCCTGAGGCTGGAGCCTGCCTCCTTCTGCCCCTTCAACATAGACCCTAAGTCTTCACACCAAAAGCCTTACATTCTCTTCTACCAGTCCTGACTCCGTATGTCACAGCTAACTTAATTTAATACCAGCTGCACTCGTAAGCTCCAATTTTAAGACATACCATTTGCTACATACTTAAACTTTCTGAGGTTTGTCTTCTTTACAAACATTTTAAGACAATCCTTTTTAAATCCTTTCTTACCCAGAGGATACCAATTTTTCCCCAATTCCTTTCCCAAGGCTTTCTTTACTACCCTCCTCTTCTTTACAACTCCTTGAGCTTCTTTTTGGCTAGAGTTTAAAACTGCCCAATTTTCCTTTGGCTTACGGAACCAACTTATCTCAGAACAGCCTCAAGGCACCACTGGGATGCAGAAGCTTGCTAGATTTTAAGGCTAAGAGTAGGGCTGGGTCTCATTTACTACCTCCATTGATTAAAAAAAAATCTCTCTTTTATCTTTAACTCGCACTTGGGAGGAAGCAGATTATTACCATACCAGAGCCAAACTAGGTTGTGACTATAGAAAGTGCCTAAGGCAGGCCAGTGATATCCTTGCCCCCAATATACTGGATATCACCAAAAGAATGTCCCACAAGATCTTAGTTTTAGCAGCTTTCAACCGGGAAGCATTCTCAGGTGATGGAATCAGGCAGGAGTCAGTCTACTTTTACCAGGGTGGAGGTGGTCTGGGTGACAATGTAGGTTTCCTCCAGGTGACTGTCAGGCTGTCGTTGAACTTTACCCATTAGGGTGTGCAGCAGCAGCAGCAGCAGCAGCAGGGTCTCTCAGTGTCTCCAAGGGACTGTCACACCTCGTGCTGGGATGCAGATTCCTACGCAGACTGGTTAAGGATACATTGCATAGGCTTGGCAGGCTGTGACCCCACTACTCTTTAAGACTATTTAGACAATAGCCCAGGACAATTTACCAAGATGACAACTTTTTAAACTAGATAGTTCTTTTAACAAGGCTAGGATTTTTCAGGCAGATACAGAGGGCTCAGGCCTGTACTACTATTTCCCATGCCTTTTTCTTTTAAAAAATTTTTTTTGGGGCTGGGAAGGTGGCTCAGTGGTAGAGCGCTTGCCTTGCATGCCTGAGGCCCTGGGTTCGATTCCTCAGCACCATATAAGCAAAAAGAAAAAAGCCAGAAGTGGCGCTGTGGCTCACGTGGTAGAGTGCTAGCCTTGATCTGAAGAGCTGAGGGACAGCGCCCAGGCCCAGAGTTCAGGCCCTACAACCGGACCCAAAAAAAAAATTTTTTTTTAAATTTTTTATTGTGAAAAAACTGTACAGAGGGGTTACAATTACATGGGCAAGATAATGAGTACAAACTGCATCCTTGGGATCATTACAAAACATTCACAAAGAGGCGGGAGGTTAGGGCTGGGGGGACCATTATGCACGTCACCTTCTGACTCAACCTGTTGGCCTTTGGGTCTTGTTGACCACCTTTTACCTGGTCAGGCGGCGGACACCTGTGGGTGAACTTCTGGATGTCATCTCTGGGACAGAGCACGTCGGGGCCTCCTCTAGCACCCGAGAGCAGCTCTTTGTGGGTACTGGATCCCGCATGGGGTGGGGGGCAGGCGGGGGGGGGAGGGTGCTCTCCTCCCTCCTGCTGGGGATAGATGGCATCCTGACCCCCCGTTCCAGTGTCCTCTACGGATGGTGGCTGTGCGACATCTCTTGCCTGCCCACCCTGGCAATGGGGCCTGGTGGACAGGGAGACCCAAGTTCCATCTGTGTCTCAGCAGGCTTGGAGAAGAGCCAGCTCAGCATTCTGAGACAGTTTCCGCCTGCGGTGTCCAGTTGGGAGCCCAAGGACCATTCAAGGTGGTTAAGAGAGAGGACTTGGACACAGGGTCTGTCACGGTCAGTGTGGGTGAGGAACAGAGGCCAGCCAGGGGAGGGGCTGGTGCTTCTGTGAGCTAATTTTCAGACCTCGGAACATAACAAGTAAGAATTTGAATTCAGTGAGATGCATCTGTAAAGACAGAACTCTGACCCAATGCCCACAGCAGCCAGACGGCTGCTCTTTCCCCCATCGTGGCCAGACAGCCCTAAGTCAGATATGTGGGTCCAGATGGCGTCCACCACAGGTGGGAAGCCCACAAGGGCTCAGGGACATCACCTCGGCCAGGACGGCACTGCTAGTCACAGCCTCGCCGACTCCTGTGCCTGCGTCTGACTTCAGGCCGCCCTGGGAAGGCCTCGGGGCCTGCGCCAAGCCAGGGCCTCCGCAGAGAGGGGTCCGCATGAGAGATGGGGAGGAAGGTCAGCCAGGGGCCTTTCTGGGGGTGGAGGAAGTCCCAGGCCAGCCAAGCAGGAGGTACACGGACCAGGAGTGGGTGGAAGACTTGGGGAGAACTTTCTGTATTTTAATTGATTAACACAAAGCATATCTAAAAGCACAGCTTCTGGAAGAACCACTTGTTCCTCACCAGTCTGTCCTTGTTCCTGGCCAGGCCCCCACCTGGCCTGAAGGGCAGAGTCTGTCCCCAGACTTAGCTGTGAAGACCACAGACCCTGGGGAGGGCAGGAGGGAGAGGGCTTCAGGATGCTTTTTCTGGAACCTTCTTTGGGGAGAGACGTGTGAACAGGAGTGGGACCTGACACCCCACCATGGATGGGGAGGATGGGCTCTGCCCTCACTCTCGGGCTCTCTTGGCTCTGGGCTGCACCTGGGCTGGGTGGCGGCCAGGCTACCGCTTGCGTGTGCCCTCCTTCCCACGTGGGCATCGAGCCACATAAACGGCTCCGGCTGGGAAGGGGCTCACCCTGCCTGTGCTGTGCGGTGACCCAGCCTCGGGATGGGGCTGCTGACCGCTCTTCTTGCTCTGGCTTCCATGCCCGGGACCCTGGCAGGGTGGCTGGGAAGGCTGGACCCGAACCAGGTAACACTCTCCTGGACTGAGGCTGGGCCGGGAGACCAGGCCCCGGTTCAGAGGCCACACGGCATCCGGGGCCCTCCGGCCAGCCTGGGTGGGCACCGGGGATAGGGCTGGGCCCGGGCGGGGGGCGGCGTGGACGGGGACTCCCTGGGGGAGGAGAGCCTGGGGGCCTTCACCTCTCTCTCTCTCTCTCTCTCTCCCCACACAGCTTCTGGGGCCCTGGTACGTCCTGGCCGTGGCCTCCCAGGAGAAGAACTTTGTGGTGGAGAAGAATGTGAGGAGCATCGAGGGCGTCATGGTGACTCTCACACCGGAAAACAAGCTGAGAGTGCGGTCCTCCCTGCGCAGGTGAGTGTGCAGGGCTGGCCGGCCTCGGGCCTCGGGCCTCAGGCCGGGCCAGCCTCCGCCTGGCACCCCTTGTCCAGAGAGCCTCCGCCTGGCCTAGGCCTTGTCCCCCAGAGCCTGGGGCTGTGCTCACCTGGCCCAGGCAGGCCCCCCCTGGACTCTGCATTCTTGTTCCCACACTCCCCCCACCTCCTGGGGCTCCTTCCTCCTGCTGGGCTGTCCTCTGAGCCGCCCCCCCCTTGTGTTGGCCCTGGCATCTGGACTCCTGGATGCTGGGCCTGCCTGGTCCCTGACTGCTCAGCCTGCCTCTGGCCGCCTGCTCTGATGCGCCTGATGCTCGATTGGTGCAGCCGGCTCAGGTCACAGGTGCAGCTCCCCCCCCCCGCCCCCCGCCATGCCCTAACTCCCTCCCACCCAGCCCCACCTCCCAGCCCTGCCCCAGGCCGGGGCCCAGCCTTCAGACCTACAGGACTGAACACTAGCTCCACACTACCTCCCAGCCCTGGCCCTCAGCACTTGGTGGCCTGTTTCTAGGGGTCTGACTCATGGGAGCTTCAGGCTGACTTCTGGGGACAGCCTCCTTTCCAGCATGTTCCCTCCTAGTGCTTCTTACGGCTTTAGTGGCGCCCTCAAGTATCTGGGAAGTTAGCCAGCCAGCTGTGTGTGATAAACAGCACTAGCTGAGCATGTGCCAGCGGCTCACCCTGGAACCCCAGCTGCTCAGGAGGCTCCGCTCTGAGGATGGCCTCTTGAAGCCGGCCACCGCAGGAAAGTCCATGGATGCTTATCTCCACTTAACCATCAAAAAGCTGAACGTGGAGCTGTGGCACAAGTAGAGGAGCCCTAGTTTTGAGGAGAGAGAAAAAAAAGAGCCCAGGGATGGTGCCCATGACCTGAGTTCAAGCCCTAGCACTGCCACAGAACAAAAACAAAACAAAAAACAAGTTATAAATGTTTCCACATTTGCCATTTTTTCTTGTGTTATGAGGAGCTTTTCTGCCAGGACATGTATGTTTTAAAACATTTTCTGCCGTTCCTCACAGGACCCTTTCTTGTGCGTCTCTGGGTGCCACGTCAGGACTGGAGTGGGCTTCTCCCCCCCGGCACTGCGGATTCTCTCTGCCCCATTTGATTTTTTTTTTCTGAGACAGGCCTTCTTGTCTCAGCTCCCTGAATGCTGGTATTACAGGCGTGAACCACCAGGCTCCGGCTGTTAGCATTTTTCTTATATCAGGAATCTTTCCCTGGGAGTCAGTGTGAGGTTCAGGCAGGTGCTTGTGCAGCCGCGGGTGTTGCTGGATGACCTGGCTTTCCCCATGGACCCAGAGTGTGATCTCTGTCTAGCTCCAAATGCTTTTTGTTGTTGTTGCACTTTTCATGCTGTTCCTTTGAGGTTTTTACTTGTCTGACCTCCAAGGTTGTACTTTTTGTGGCTATTAAATGTGCCTCGTTTTTCTGCTGGACCTGCTCTTGCTGGAGTTTTCCTTTCAGAATTTCCTCGGTTCTTCTTGTGTTGTCTTAGTCCCAGGCTGCCTTGGCTTGATGTGTCTGACAGGCGCCACGGGTCTACTGGGTTGCTTGCTTTTAGGGACTGAGAGTTGGGGTGCCTGGGCTGCGTGGCTGCAGTTTGTCCCATGTCCCAGGCTGTCTCCCCCTGGCGGGCACTGAGCTCCTCACACGCACTGGCTGGCCTCACCAGGGTCCTGGGGGTGGAAGAAGCTGGGCCTCTCTTCCTGAGCAGGCATTCAGGGTAGCTGAGGCACCTGTGGGCCTCCTGGCAGCTGGTGAAGCGTGGGCCCCTGGAGGCCTGTGGTCTGTGAGTCCCAGTGCTGGTCTGGGGGCCTCGCCATCTGGGCGGATGGGTGCTGAGGGGCCTTTGCTGTCCAGGCTGGATGGTTGCCACCAGAGGACTGTGGAGCTACTGAAGCAAGAGTCCAGATGGGTGTTTGAGAACCCCTGTGAGTACGATGCCCAGGGGGTCTCTGGGCAATGCTGCCCTGGACAGTCCCCAGGTCCCAGGTGGGTAGGCCAGGGCTGGCCGTGGTGGCCCACTCTGCGCCAGGGCCCCAGAACCACTCTTCATGGGGAGTTACCAGATCTGGCTGGATAAGAGGGGCTCCTGAACGCAGGACTTCCCCCTTAACCTCCCCCCGGCCAGATGCCTGTGCGAGCGGCCACCTGGGCCTCGGGCCCTTCCATGGTGCAGGATGTCTGGGAAGTGGTGCCCAGGGCCAGGGGCAGGGTAGGTCACCCAGCTGCTCCTCAGGTTTCCCAGGACGAGCAGGGACGCACACCTGACGTCCATCTGTCCACCCGTTACCACAGCTGCTTTCCAGGGACAGAGCTGGGCCTCGCCTGGGTCACCCTGAGTCTGCCCCTCTGCCCGAGGCTCAGGCCAGCCAGTCCCTCTGGAGGGCAGCAGAGCCCACACTTGCTTTCTAGCCCTGGGTGTGCTGGACTTCCGGGTGCTGGGCACCAACTTCAAGGACTACGCCATCATCTTCATGCAGCTGGAGCAGGAGGACGAGGCCTTCAGCACCGTGGAGCTGTACAGTGAGTGGGGCAGGCCAGGGGGTGCTCGGGCCCCCCCACGCTGGGGCCAGGTGTCCTGTGGGCGGCCTGAGTGGGGACCCACGGGACCACGTGCTCACTTCCTCGAAGCTGGGCTGGGCGCCTCCTCTGAGGCCCCGTGACCCCTGCCCCCAGGTCGCACAGCCGTGGCCAGTCAGGAGGCCATGCGGCTCTTCACCAAGTGGAGCAAGAGCCTGGGCTTCCTGTCCCACGAGCAAGTCCAGCTGCAGGAGGACCGTGAGTGACCCCAGGGGAGCCCCAAGGGCAAGCTGGGTGTGTGATCTGTTTTCTGGCTTCTGTCAGTGTGTGGGGCTTTGAGGGGTCACCTGCCCCTTCCAGGGTTCTGCAGGATGGCCCCAGCCCCCGAGGTGAGGGGGGACAGGGCCCTGGGTCCCGGGAGGTGAGGGGGGACAGGGCCCTGGGTCCCGGGGCGCAGCGCTGTCCTCACAGCTGGCCTGGCCTCTGCTTTCAGTCACCTGCGCACACGAGATCGTCCAGGTAGGCGGCCCCTCTGTGCATCGCCGCTGGCTCCCTGGAGGTGGACAGGGGGACGGGGACCCCGTCTCATGAGGCCAGGCAGCCTGTGGCTCGGTGGCTGAGGAGGGCGATGGCTGTGACGCCCCACCTCATGCATGCCCGGTTTTCAGGGTGTGCGCAGTGCTCTGTGACGGGGCCCTGTCTGGTCTGTCTGGAGCTGGGCCGGGCTGTGCTCTCTGTGGCTGGAGGAGGAGCTGGTGCTGCTCGCCGCTCCCACAGGACCCTCTCCTGAGCTCAGAATAAAGTGACTGCAAACCTTCCTTGTGTGTCTGGACTGAGCAGGGGCGGAGTGGGCAGACCCGCCAGCGGCCCAGGCAGGGAGGGAGGGAGGAGTGCCCTCGGGCCTGGGAGCTGGGAGCTCAGCAGTGGCTGGTGGCTTCCCAGCGGACTTGACAGGGCTCCAGGCAGGCAGAGGCTGACCAGCCTAGGTTGGGCAGAACCTGTGGGAGGGATCTGGACACTGGGTGGACAGGTGCTGGAAGGGCCTGGACACCATGTGGACGGGTGCAGGAGGGGTCTGGACACCGCATGGACAGGTGCAAGAGGGGTCTGGACACTGGGTGGACAGGTGCAGGAGGGGTCTGGACACAGGATGGGCAGGTGCTAGAGAGGTCTGGACACAGGATGGACAGGTTCTGGACAGGAGGCTGGTGTGCACAGATGCCCTAGCAGGAAGCCCCCCCCCCCATGGCTATAGCTGGCTTATCTGCCCCAGGACGGCTGCTGACCTGGGACTGGCTGAGGTCTGCAGCCTCAGTGTCCTGTTGGGTCCAGGTCCTGAGGTGGCTGGGCTGGGAGGGGGTTGGTCACGCCGAGGTCTTGGTCCCCAGGGCTGGGCGCACATGTATGCGGCTGGTAGCCACCTGGCTTTTCCCAGAGCAGCCCTGGTGTCCAGAGGTGCCCGGAAGAGGACTGAGAGTTCAGTGAGGAGTCAGGGTGGAGAGACAAGGTACCCTCTCCGTGTGAACACACACGCATGCACACATGCACACACGCATGCACACGCACCCACACCCACATGCATGCACACACACGCACACACACGTGCATGCATGCACACCCACACATCCTCCCTTGGCTGGCCACTGGCACTGCAGCCTCCAGAAGGCTGCCCAGAGGACACCACCCAGCCCCCACTTTTCATGCCACCCTGACTCGGAGAGCCACACAGCTGTCTTGGCCTCTGTCTCTCATCTGGTGATTGAAGACGTGAGGACCAGGCCACAGCCGAGGGGGTGGGACTGTGGTGGCCCCTGGCTTGTGGGGGGGCTGTGGTGGCCCCTGGCTTGTGGGAGCTGTGGTGGCCCCTGGCTTGTGGGGACTGTGGTGACCCCTGGCTTGTGGGGAAGGCTGTACCCCTGGCTTGTGGGGGGACTGTGGTGACCCCTGGCTTGTGGGGGGACTGTGGTGACCCCTGGCTCATGGGGACTGTGGTGACCCCTGGCTTGTGGGGGGGCTGTGGTGGCCCCTGGCTCGTGGGGGCTGTGGTGACCCCTGGCTCGTGGGGGGCTGTGGTGGCCCCTGGCTCGTGGGGACTGTGGTGACCCCTGGCTTGTGGGGGGGCTGTGGTGGCCCCTGGCTCATGGGGGCTGTGGTGGCCCCTGGCTCGTGGGGGGCTGTGGTGACCCCTGGCTTGTGGGGGGCTGTGGTGGCCCCTGGCTCGTGGGGGCTGTGGTGGCCCCTGGCTTGTGGGGGCTGTGGTGGCCCCTGGCTTGTGGGGGCTGTGGTGGCCCCTGGCTTGTGGGGGCTGTGGTGGCCCCTGGCTTGTGGGGGGGCTGTGGTGGCCCCTGGCTTGTGGGGGCTGTGGTG